AACTTATTTATTCCTGAATAAGCATTTGTCCTTTATTTTGCGACTCGTCGCAAAATCAAATTTCTCAAATGGTTTTCGCAATCTAATCGGAGCACCGCAACGTATTTTTCTAAATGCCAGCCGAGCCGTATGCTGACAAAGATGCAGTGGGCCGAGCAATGCGCTTCTCGCGTTAGTACCACCCCACATAACTAGGACTGCTTAGTTCTTTAATTTGTGTTCTTCTCCTTCTACGGTTTGTGCGCGCGCACGTCTTCGTCATGTACAAAATATTGTATTTACAGCTTTAGTTTACTCACGGTATCAATTTAACTACCTGTCTAGCTCTAGGTAAGTTGCTTGTATTTCAGTTTTGATTTTCGGTATTATCTAATAATTTTATGAATCTTGACTTTACATTCATGGCGCCTAAATAAGTGCACTTCAACCAAGATTGCATGAAATATTCCTTTATAAAAAAAAGGAAACGGTAGCGTGTCAGATGCTTAAATGTTACCACTTCAACATTGCATAGCGACAGATCAGCCTTAATCACATCTTCAACTTCAAAACAAAAGATGCGATAGGCAGGCTTCGAAGAGCAAATTTAAAGAATTTTTGAAAAAAGAGATATGACACCCAAAACCGTTAGCCCTAAAAGAAGATCATGTGTCTCATTCAGTTCACACAATATCATTAGATTAGTGACTGCTCCCCAACTAATAAGAAGTTTCGAAGAACATATTTTTGCACAAGGACAAAAACGGAACATTATTTGCAATGTCTTCGCCCCTATTCATTTGAAGCGATCAAGTTCCTAAGCGAAACAAATATATCACCATTTATTCTGATGTTCGAATCATGGCAACCCCAAATTATGTACTTTCTCGTCAGATATTTTTTACCCAATTTTGGAGTTAGAGTAAAGTTTGATATAAAACGCTTCCGGTGAAAATTCCGATTTTGAAAAATGGTATCAATGAATCACTGAGAAATTTGGGGCCACAGAAATTGTCCTGCGTGTGGAAATCAAAGGTTCATTTTGTGGTTTCAAAGAAGAGGAAAAACAATGTTTTATACAAATGCAACAAGCGAGCAAAAATAAATTGATTGGGGTTAATTGTGCAGCCCACATATTCATAATTGCATCAGCACTGCGTCGATGCCTCCGATGATATTGAGTGGTTTGGTAAATTTACTCACATTTCTATATTTACACAATACGAGTAGAAATATTGAAACAATTTGGAGAGCAAGGTCCATACAAAAAGCTCCTTGGCTACAGTAAACAAGAGGTTATCTTTCCACATGAAGAGTTTACAATTTTTGAACCCTAAGACTTACTTTTAAATCGGATAAATGCCCAACAATACTAAAACTTTTTCATGGGGAATTATCAGAGGAATGGTTATTTTTGTTCATAATCAAGCGCAATGTTTCATCAATATATTTGAGGCTGAAGTCAAGAGATTTCATGTGTGAAAATCGTTACTGTAAGGAAGTAAAAACTAAGCTCATTCAGAAAAATGAGAGTTTGTTCCATAGATAAGAAATGTTTCAAAATGCAAGATTTGCAATCTACACAGTTTCTCTGAGCTTGCAGGTTATCAAAATCTTGAATCGAAGCAATTGGGCGGTGTTCAATGAGCAGTTTTTTTAGGATCATTGCGAGAAGTCCTGTGTGGGTCGAAGGGGAGGCAAGTTACATTTTTAATCAAACATTTCGGTCGAATATCCGATGGGAATATTTGACGATTACCCTCGTAAAATTAATTACCATGAAAAATTGAGAAGGAGGCAAACAGCAAATCTTCCACTAAGGTGGGTGGAGATATTTAATCACTTTAAAGCGAATCATATTGCCTTCAACAATACTTGTAAACTCATTGAGTTTGCTTTATGTCTACCTGGAACTAATGCTCCCGTCGAAAGAATATTTTCATTAGTAAATAATATGTGGACCAGTGACAAAACCCAATTAAGTGTTAGTACAATTACAAGCCAGCATAGCTGTAAAATTTAACTTTGAAATGAATTGCCTTGAATTTCACTACTTTTTGAAGGGTGAACCGGCACTTTTGCGAAAAATCCACACAACTGGAAAGTATGAGCAATAAATTATTTAATATCCTATATTTACATATTACATTATTTAAAACTCGTTGAACATATTAATGTCTGCTTCTGTTGTTTTAATAAACCTTTTGAATTACTAAGTTTTTTTAATTTTTTTTTATCAGGAGGCGTCCATAAATGATCGCAATATTTGGGATAATTTTGATCCTGCCCATCCCCAATCCCCATGTCGCAATTTGTCACACCTTGGAAGACCCCAAATTAACATTTGTGACGTCACACGAACGCACAAACCCCCACCCCTAACACAAAATTATTGAGCACGAATTTAAATTACCATAACCCCCCCTCATGTCACGTTACAAGTGTCCTTTATTTTCTCCGAAAAAATATGGTCACCGTAAGTATGCCAGAACATATTTTTAAAAATAATAATGTGTGCAAGCTATTAAAAGAACCAACATTTATTTAATTTGTGAAAAAGTAAATATTAAAATTTCAAGTGTTGGTTAATTTGTGCTTCTATATTGTGCTCCTATGTGAACTAATATGCACCAAGTGTTGATAACGTAAACGGGGTAATTTATATTATATTACATATGTGGAGGGGATAAAGTGAGTTAGTAAACTTTAGGTATCTATTAGACAGTTTTAAATTTGATACTTTTATTACTTATACCACTTTCTTCCACTTAGAACTTAAATTAATTGCTTGAAATGAAATTTACACCCAAAATTACTCACAAGAAAAAACGTGACATTTGAATGACCCATGTAATGTTCGCACATGCATTTTAGTGATGCAACTTTAGTAAAAAAAGTGCTGACATTACGTGAGTGTATACAGTAATGAATGAACTTATGTCTCTAGTTAAATAAAAGATTAATGTATCAATACAGTTTTAGAGAAACTGAGAAGATTCCACAACAATTCAGGTAGGAAGTATTTTCTGTTTTTATTTAACCTGAATTGTCATATAAAATTTATATTAAAACACCTAGGGAATTACAGGATTAACCCTTTGAAGATAGTGTGCCTTTCTTTAAGATGTTCCCTTGGAATGGATGGGAGTTGAAAGGAATCGTACCACAGGACGAGGGTTTTGCATAACTTCAGGGTTATGCAAAACCCTCGTCGCCTGTTAAGTCCTAATGCCATAATTTTTGGTACCATTTTAGATTATTATTTAAGCTATCATATACATTAAAATTAGCATTTAATAATCCTTTTCGTTTACTTTCCATGGAAACAAATAAATAAATAAATAAATAAAAATATGTTTACTTTGAGAAATTATTTTTTAAAGTGCTATTCAAATTATTCTGAAGTTTTAATTGACAAAATACATTAATAAACTTTAATAAGTACAAAAAAGACTATTTACATGAAGAAATAACAAAATCTTTCACAGAAGTGGAAAGAGACCTCAGTGAAGTCAGTTTCTGACAAAATGTCCTATCAGAATCACTAGAATAGCATAACTCTTTAGAAAATGACCATCTTCGCATCCATATTACAATTGGCTCATTACCCTGAAAATACACCTTTCCTTAATAATATATTGCTATAATAAATGAAGTTAAGGCTTTCATAAACAACGGGAAATCCATATAAAGGTGGCTGTAAATGGGACCAACAAGCGGTAATGTTATATCATGTGGCAATGAAGATGAATTATTTATTTAAATATGCTTTCCTTGGTCCCCCCAACAGCTGACTGAGTTAGGCAGAATGTGATCAAACTAAAGGTTATTATCTTAAAACTATGTTCAGTTCAAAAGTACTGAAAACAGGATGCCATCTTGTGGTATTTAAGCACTGCTTCAGCTTTAAATGCACACATGCATCACATTCAGTTCATTCTTCAGAGATTCATGGGTGGTAAACCTGGCTGTGAGAGATGTTCGTAGGAAATGCAGATGTGAGATGCTTGTCTGGAAAGGGTTAAATACATTTTCCGCATAACAATTTTTTTTTCTTTTCTCTCTAACAATTAAATATTATCATTCCAGATGTAAAAGGAAAAGAAAAATAGAATCTGACAGAAAGAAATTTAATTTTTGTTAATCCATTATTATACTTAAAATGAAAACTTCATGACCTTTCTTTCAAGACGAATAAAATATATGCCTCATTAAAAAATCTTACCAGCTTTAAATCTCTAACTAAAGTTAAGTTAAGAAGAGAGAAAAGAAAAAATACATAAAAATTCCAAACATTCTATAGTTTGATTATGTAGACTTGGGCTAACGCCATTGAACGAGTCTTCCACAAGATTTTCGAATAAAAGTGTTTTGCTTAAAAAATACTTCAATTTTTTTAAACAATCGGAATTAAGATATTTCCTTACATTTAAAATTGATCTCATTGACTTCAAAATTATTTCTCAGTTTAAAGAATAGATCAAAGACTTAAAGGGATGTGGAACTGCCTATCAATTAATGCGCCAGCCTGTAACCCTAGCAACCCAAAACAGTAATTTTATTTATTAGCTCAATTGTAAATCATAGCAGAGTGATTAATGGAAAGATAAATTCGATTTTATTCCATTGTTAGATTTTTAATAATCTGTCTCAAAAGTGTACTACCATAGCAGAAATAACCAAGAGAATTATATCCTCTATTAAGATTATTTACTATTAATACTTAAAGGAATTATTACCTAATACTAGTACATTTAACTACCACTCGGAAACGTTTAAGTGTAAAATTTTTACTTGTTGGAAAATACAAAAGAAATCTTAAACGTTGACCTCATAAACACATTTGCTTGTCTTACATAAATGAAAATCTATTGCGTTTTAAATGCAATATATATTTATAAACAAATATGCAAAAATTAAAAATGTCATAAGATACTGCCGTAAAATCATATCTTCCCCAGACAAATAGTTTTAAATGAGAAACTACTCAATGTTACCAAAATACAAGAAAAATATCTTACTTCCTTCTGGCGTCATGAATTCAATTACATCAGATGGTGGGCCATTATACATATCATTAAAGGCTAGAACTCGAACTAAGTTGCGAGAATGTGGGCGGAATATAGTTACTAAAGACTGAGTAACATTTGCCTTCACAACTTGCTCTCGAAGTCTTTCTTCACCTTCATCTACTGTCCACGTTTGAATCTAAAATATCATACAAATAAATATTTCATTATTTGACATCAAAGATACATAACATATTTCAGAAAGAAAAGTTTTCTTATTATTTAAATGAATTTTCTTTCATATAAAACTATTACATCATAATAATAATGATAATAATACACAGTACAATATTGAAAATTCTCTCTTTTTATAGCAGACAAACTAATATTTTTCCCTTACTAAATTAATCTGTATTAATTGATGATATACCTCCACAATTAATTTCTGCCAGACTGTTTTTATTTAAAATATTTCGGTTCAGTATTAATCAAACAATATGCTTGCGTCATAAGATGCCTTTTATACCATTGCTGAACTAATTACAAACACTTTGCTGAACATATGCATGGCAATATCTATTTTGAGAATACTGCTAAAAAAATTGTTTTTTCATGCATTTAATATAACTGATATTCAAATCTTTATCTTGTTTTTGATTCTGGATTTTTTTAAAATCTCAAACAAAAGTTTATAATATAAGATTTTATCTACACACACATTTTCAGAAGATTGCATTACTGCATTTGTTATAGCATATATGTAAGATAAGGGATAGAAAAAAATAGTACTGTTTATTTCAGGAGCACATATATACACTATGTGTCAAACAGTGCTGTGTAGTCATCTTGGATGGACCATTGTGTTTTCATGTTCTACTTAAAATAACGGCAGTTTTAAAAAGAACCATTTTAAAACAAAATTTAGAAGAAACAGGGGAAAAAAATAATGAAAAAGCAGGCTATATATGAGTTGTGGTAAAACATGGCTTGTGCATTTCGAAAGATTTGAAAAGATTCAGGGGAAAAAAAAAGTTTTACAGTGTTTTAAATGTTTAAATAAGTAAAAATATTTTCTACGAGGCATGGTTTCTTTTTCCTTACCAACTGCACTGGAAAGAATAATCACTGTGCTTTCAGAGTGCACACTGCTTTTTTTCCAAATATGCTGTTATCTTTCCACCCACAACTAAGATTACTAATTTACAACAGAAAGAAGGAACAATTCTATACAAAAGGAACTGAATTTTTATATTCATGTGTGCTGCATATGCAAGTAAAATGTGACAAACTAAAAAGTATTATGGGGCCTACAGATCTTTAAACTAGCCCTGAAATGAAAGGAAGTAAGAGAATGTTGGGATATATCTGTACTGCAGCAACAATGCTGTATATATGATTAAGGTTAAAAAAGAGATTTTAAGAATCAGAGAGTGACATGTATGACTATATAAATGAATACTACATATTAATATTATTCTATGAATAAAAAAAAGACAACTATCAAAAAAGGATATAACAATTTTTTTTTCATTCTAAAATTAATTAATATATTATAATAATGATTATTAATAATTCCATTTTGAGGCTTTAAGTAAATGCTGGGTTCCCCTATGCATTAAAACCAGTTTATGTCAATGGTTTCTAGATACAATATGATCATTAATGAAAAGTTTACACAGCAAGGTACCATTACTGACAATAGAAAACTCGGTGGAAGAAAATTATATTAAAAGTTTCTATCAATGCTAGTTTTAAGCAAATCATAGCAAGTTAAGGAATGAAGTATTTTCTAACATATGCAATAATCTATCCCATTCCTTTTACTAAAACACATATTTAATTCACTACCTTCCAATATTATAAAATCATTATTAATACGGCACAAACTGTATTAGTGATTTTTCTAGTTCCAATTATTCCAGTGATAAGTGCTCACTGCATCTTTTATAATTGCTCATAACATTATCTGAAGGAAAAATATCTTTGCACAAATTTACCTGATAAAATTGAAAATACGTTTCACATTTTAAATTGCCAAATGGCATTTTTAACATGTTGTTTTTACCAGATACACTATCTACTACATTCCTGAAACAATATACAACACATTTCAGTGTATTACATACATTTATTATTAATGTTTTTATACTTACATGTATCGGGTCAGTCCATAAGTCTGTGCGCATTAAGAGTATGCATGGAATTCACTATGACACATTTACTAAAACAATACAATTTTGAACCTGTTGAAACTTGTCATGTGACTAACATTTATCAGTTCATCACACTTTGTAAATATCGAGCGCATTTATTACCCATAGAAAATTATATAGCGAATCAGTACAAACATGCTGTGCTACATTTTATTTTGTGTGGTGAATCTGCAGGTTTGCAGCTAAAAATTTATGGTACATGGTGACACACTATTAGTGTAAGGACTGTCCAGAAATGGTTTTAAAAGTTTAAGTTGGAAAATATCATGATTATGAACCCGTTCAGGACATTTGACTGTTAGAAACCAAACAACAATTAATCAGAAGTTATAGTGTATCTAACTCAGAAATGATCAAAAACGCCTTGATTGGTGAAATCAAGAAAGTGTTGTTTCATCTGATAATGTACACCGATACGGCTCGAACAAGCTGCAAAAAAGGAATGATTTAATGGAGGGGGCCACACCAGCTTTCTCCCCAAATTGCCTCAAGTGTTTACTTATTTGTGTCTTACAAATGTTTACGGGGAAAAAAATTAATTTTAAACAGACGTACCATGAACTTTTCAGTTTTTTGCTCAAAACCAAGTGTCTACAGCATGGAAAAAGCTGCTTATAAGAGGGCGAGACATGAGATAATGGAGAAAAATATTAGGTTATAAAGTGTAAATGTGTGTTTTTATATTATTTAAAATTGACCAAAAAATGCTTACTAATTTATGGACTGACCCAATTAAATGACATTTTGTCTTCATTTGCATTTTAATATGTACAATAAACATAATAAGTACTGATACTGCAATACCCTTTTATGATTATCTTTGTAATTAGCTTGATAAAAATTATTTATCAGTGAAAGATTAATTCATGAAAATCAAATGAGAAAGTTGCTTATATTTGTGCAAAAGCCAATGAGTGAAAGACGAATCAGTCAACAAACATAACGTCAAAATATGTTTTAGTGGTAAAAAAAAAAAAAAAAAAAAAAACTTACTTTATAACCCCTGAAATGCCCTCTTACTGATTCAGGAGAAACAGGATCCCAAGAAAACATAGCAGACCTAGCATCTTTCACATACATACGATTAAAATTCTTTGGTGCCTCCAAAGGTACTGAAAAACAGAATTAAAGAAGCTAGATTAAGCTATTAAAGATACTAATAAATTAGAAACTGATGAACAATATAAACTGCTTTAAAACAATAAAATGGAATGTTAATGAATATTAATTACATTGTTGGTGAACAATTAATACAGTGCTGTATATGATGCTCATTTCTATAATACATTTAGCCAGTATATTGCACTAGAAATATTTTTCAATGCATGCAGTCAAAGAACAAAAGGTTTTCAGTTTAAATGTAATTATTCCCTGCATAGACACATGTCACATTCACATTTAATGAGGTGAAACTCATATGTTTACTATTTAAAATTTTCAAAAACAAGTTTCACTTCTTTAGAACAGTACAGTACAAAGCCTGAGTCTAGACGTCCAATTCTGGAATCATCTAAAACTTGTATTTCCAGATCACCAGTAACCTTTTTTTCCTCTTTAAAATATTTTCTTGCAAATTCAATACTTTTTCATAATATTGGAGAGCCTCTAATCTTAGTCACCAGGTGATTCATTATTTATTATTTTTTGCTTTAACAACAGCATCACTACCAACCCACTGTAACTTGACAAATTACTTACCCAGCAAAATGTAAACAATTATTTTTAAATATTAGGAACTGGATACCAAAAAGCATGATAATCTTTTATGTTGACATTATGCTTGGTGATGATTACAGACTTCAGCTAACTCTACTGAGAAGTGTTGAGTATGTCGATGAGGTGAAATTTAACTATGAGATTAAATTTCTTTCCACATGAAAAAAAATAGGTTTTGTAAATGATATTCATAGGCCAAAAGATTACACTTACTGCTGTCTGAATAGCTGATTTGTTTATTTACTTGAACCTAGGCCAGGTGCCAGTGGTGGTGTAGTCGGAGTGGGCAACAAAATTTTTAGAATTTAGGAAGGCATTTGGCAGTAGAATTTAAGAGCTATAGAGACTGCAAAGTTTCTAGCACCTGCTCTAGATAAGCTTTAATTATATGAGGGAATTTATTTATTTGAGACTCAGAAAAAACATATGCATGTGTAGGAAATAGTCATACGTAGTATAATAAATACCTAAACTAATATAATTCAGGCTTAATACTTCATCAGTGTGTGACAGAAGTAGGACAAAATTTAGTGGAACAACATTTCTTTAGCCACCAATATCATGTTATACCACTAATAGTGTATAATAGATGCTAGCTGAGATTTATGATAATAGATACAAATTTGAAGGTTTTAAGATACTGCCAGCAAAAAAAAAAAAAAAAAAAAAAAAAAATCATGAAATTTGTGAAGAAACGTGGAGAAGTGGTAATATACAAAATGATGATACAACAAACATTCTTTATCATGATGACAATGCCCCAATCATCAACAAATGGACAGCAAGTTGTTGTAGTAGATTATACAACAGTTGATAGATACAACAGTTGTAGATTATACAAACATTTTGATTGACAGTTTAGTGGGGAGGGGGAGTTTTTGATGTGGCAATTACAGGATTTGAAAAATGAAACTTCGTAAAATTTTTTTTCTTACAAAGTTTCATTTTTTTTGGGGGTGGTGGTGGTGGTAAAATTTGATTCTTTAAACATCATAAAATACTTCCATTATTTCATATTTTTACTTTTATAATTTCTACATGTCATCTTACTTGATTTAAAGCAAACATTTAATAATCGGAAAATACCAAATCTGCAATTGCCGAAATCCTGATGAGATCGGATCTCAGACTTTGTACGATAATGTTCAGTTGATTAAAAGTTAGAAAGTGACTATAGTTAGAAAGCGACTAGATGATATTATTATCAAATTACATGACTGACTAATAACAAAGTCAGGTTGATCATAGGGAAATCTGACAGTTTCTTACTATAGCCAAGATTTTTTTTATATATTTTTTATGAGTAAAAACCAATGATTAAAGAAAGGAAAGTACTGCTGTCAGAAATAAATAAATTCACTAAACGTTTTCTAAAAAAACCACCAATTAATAATGAGTTTAAAAAATCTTTTCCAAAATAATGTAGAGCATGGTATATTATCAAAGTAGATGTAACTTGAAAGGGATTAATTAAAATTGCAGTTAAGAGATCTATAATTTTTTTTGGTCAAAAAGAGATAAACAAATGTCTGAAATTTTTAAAGTAACCTAATAATTTATTTTTTTCTAATATTTTGCATCATGGCTACAACAATGAGATGCAAAATTGCTGTTCTTAAACTAAAACAAATGCTTCCAAGATTTATGGAACATTTAAAAGCATAACACGCAAAAGTGTTAAAAATTGTAATTTTATACTTAAGCAATTTCCTCATATAAAAATTTATCAATTTTACTTTAAAATATGCTTTTTAATTACTTAACAAAATTACATAATTTAAACAGCAAATTACCATCTTCTCCGGAATACCCAATGACTTCAGTAGCTGCAGTATGAGCCTGTCCTTTGCTGTTGTGAGCCTCAACTTTAATCCGGTAGGGTTTAAAAGTTGGTTGGTTTGGTATCATGAAACTGTTTTGCTCCCATTCTGGTATTTCTGCAGTCTCCCACAATGCTCCAGGTATATCTTCTCTTTTCCAGAAAACTTTGTAGAAAAATCCTGGGGCATTTTGTTCAATCATTGGCATTGCCTGAAAATTAGGGAAAAAAAATAATTACAGTGAAAAGTGTCCATTTTTTAACAGACAAGCTATTAATTAAGTTTTTTTTTTTAATTTATGCCTTGCAATGTGAGATGCCAAGATTCCTGAGACTCAGAATTAATCTAAGATTTTTGTAATGTGAAATATAAATAGTCACTCTCTATTTGGAAAGAACTATGTGTAAGAAATTTTCAGAATAAATATATAAATAAAAATGGAACTATAATCAGTTAAAATAATACTCACTGTCCATGAAATCACTAGATTATCCTTTTCAGTTCCTTTCCCAACTACATTATCTGGATTCTTATATGGCACATCTTCAGGTGTCTCACATACTCCAGAAGGTCCACTGGGTTCACTTGGTCCTATTTTATTCCTGGCTATAACTCTAAATGTATAATTGGCCCATGGAGTCATAGAAACCTAAAACAAATTACAACAATAAATGTTTCCTTCTAGAATCTGAGCAAGATGTTTTTTGAAAATTGAAAATAACTATGATAAATATAAAAATAAATGGTGGAAAATTGTTCTAAACTTTTTAACATATTTTCTTTAATATCACTTTAAACATTACTATTTAAAAAAAAAGAAAGGGGGAAACCTAAATGATAAATGGAATATTAATTGGAATTAAAAATCATGCTTATGCATGCATTATTTAAACATAAAATATACTAAAACATTCATATTTAAAAATACAGAAGTAGAAAAAAAACACCAAAGAATTTTTACTTTAAAACGAGTATCAGGAGCGGGAATATTAACAAATGCATCTTCCCATTTATCAGGTGTAAAACTTGTATTATACTGAATAGTGTAGCTCAATATGGGAGCTCTCCGATCTCCAGTAGGTTGCCATACAACTAAAGCTGTAAGTCCATCACACTGAACACCTTGTATTTTTGGAGGATTTGGCGTATCTATTGAAAAAAAAAAAAGTATTAATACTTAAAAAAAAAAACCTGTCCTTCAATACATAAAGCAGAGCCCCAACTAACTAGATTACTCCTCCTTTTTTTATTCAAGTTAAATTTTAATTTGTTGTTAATTTGTTTGTTTGTTTAATTGTTTGTTAATTAGCTATACACTTTTAATTTTTAATAATGAATAAGTTTAATAATAATGAGTTTATTATTTTATGTTACTAAAAGGTACTGGTTTAATATAGTAAAAACAAAATCACATAAGCAAATACGTTTACTGCTTTATTCAGTTGCCGTAAAAAAGTTCTTAACGTTTATAGAAATAAAAAAAAGGAATAACTACCATTAAAAAAAGAGAAAGAAATTACCGCATATTTTTATATATAAGTGAAAAAATGTTTGCAAAGTTTTTACTACTGAAGTTAGGGAGTTGGCTTATACTATATGAATTCAAATGAATCAGACATAATTTGGTTACAAAAATGAACTTAGAAGATTAGATAACTAAAAAAATATTTCATATTGATATTCATAACATTCAATATTCATTTGATCTGATTCTAATACACATAAATTGAATATTTTATTACCAACTTTTAAGTCAGAATATTCTAGCAGTTCTTGAAAGTCTCTCGCTGTGAAAGCCAAAGCATTGCTAAAGAAAAATTATAATTTTTAGTTGTAAAAACTAGCAGAAAATGGAGTCTTTTTCTTGCCAAAATGCTAAACAATGCACATATCCAGAGTTTGTGAAAAAGAGAAAACACTGGTGTCAAGACAGCTATGCACTGCAATGATCTCACTCCTATTTTTCAAATAGAAGCTGAAGATAAAGGCTGCGGCTACAAATGCATACTAGGGTGTTGTTAGAATACTGGGAAAGAGAATAATTCTTATTTCTACCATACTTTAAAACTAGACTGTATTAAGATTGTAAGAGTAAAAAAAAACTATTTCTTTACTTCTCTGTTTTTCACAGGATAGGTTAAAAATGTCAGAATTTCTCACAAGTTTCTGGCAGGTACGAAAGTATATGCTAGTAAAGAATACAAGTGACATTACTTTACTTAGTGGTAGTGTATATAAAGTTTTATTGTGTGACTACTTCACTGTTACATAATTTAATGTTGGTAATGTCTTACTTGCAAAGTTCCACTGTTCAAGTCCTGTAATTGCTGTGTTGAGAATACCGACTAACTTGTCAATCGAAATTTTTTTGTTTTCAGTAAACTCTCTGTCACTTTCTTCACTATCAGAAGTGCACATGGGTAAATGCTTTACGTGCATGCGTAAGTTTGTGTCTTTGAGGTCTGGATTATAGTTCATACCGGATAATGGATGTCCGGATTACGGACTTTGTACTGTAATTATATTATATGAATCTTCAGTTTTATATAGCATTAACCACTTTTAATATCTGTTAATTTCTTTTACATCTTAGAAATCAAATCTTATATTTCAATAATGCAAACATGTATAATAGAGATAAAATAACAATAAAAACTATACTTCTCTTTAAACTATAGTCATTAATTCGAATGGAATCTGAATATTAATGTAATTTAATACATATTTAATTACTCATTTACCTTGCACAATAAGTGTTGCAGTTGCTTCATCTTGATCAAGATCTGTTTTTGCTACACAGGTATAAGTACCAGAATCAGATTCAATAGTTTTAGTTATAGTTAGAGAATCATCAGCTGCCTGAACCATGCGAGCATCCATATCAAAATTGATCGGTTGTCCATTGAAAAGCCACAGTATAATGAGTTGCAGACTTGAATCAGCTTCTGCATCACAGCGGAAAGTTGCTGATTTACCAGCAGCAACTTCAAAATTTTCAGGTGGCATGTTTATTTTTGTTTTCTCTGAAATAAAAATTAATTCTTAGTCTAACAAAACAATTTTATGATTTATATCCAATATAAATAATATAAATTGGAGAGTTCCAATACTGAAATGTAATTTTTTGTAACTTCTAGAATTAAAAGAAAGAAAGTAAAAAGAAAAATACTTTTAACTTCAAGCCTTCCTGATGCTTGTATATCACCAAATTTGTTAGTAGCATAACATGTGTATTCTCCTTCATCCTGGGGACGGACATCTGTAATTTCCAAATCTCCATTTTCTTGAACCTGTGACAAAAAAGTTACAAATTTAATAGTTATAGCATTTTACCACAAAATTTGCTTTTCATTTCTTTTATGATAGCATTTACAGTCTTCTAAATAATTAAACAGTTAAGTGACAAGGAAGATTAGGCAAAATTTGCTTTTGAGTAATACCAATATATTTTACTTAAATATAGATGACTTTTAATTGAAGTTTTTCAAAAGAAATTAACTGCCTAATTAGAGCACAGCATCTTGGATCCCTTTCAGTTTACCAAGTTTAATGCATTAAATGCTGATGTCAGTTACTGATAATGGACAGTAAAACATGGAGTATGATTTTATTAGAAATTTTAATTTAAATAGCATGACACTTCAACACTAAAAGAATAAATTTAAGCAGAGAAAAAGGCATAGATGAATGTCTCTTTCCTTAATATTAAAGAATATAATAAAATGTGTAATAAAATACTCTTCACAGTTGTTATTTTACAGTTTTCTAAAGTATGTGAAGCACAGATGGAGATTTCTATCAAATTAGTAACAAAACATGAAATATAGAAAATAAAACGATCAGCAACCAGCAGTCATAATTGTTCAGCCTCACATGGGCAAATGAGCTTTTTGAACATGGCTTCACCAATATAAGTTTTAAAATTGATTGCAATTTTCACAAAGACACAAACATAAGAGTAGTTTTTCAAGTTCCTCTACTCCTTATTAAATGCCTCTATTATGCTATAACTGAAGTTTTAAATAGCTTAAAAATGCTAAATAAGCATATTAAATGATTTACATATCAGAATACAAAAATTAAAAAATTTTAACACTGATCATAATGATTAACAACATATATTAATCATCAAATAATACTGCTCAGAGAAATACTTTTTGTTGTGCATATAACTTTTACTTGCTGATCTTTTATTTGTCTCTTCAATTAATTTAGCGGTTTAGCAAAATGTTTAATACATGCAATAATAAATTAAACCCAACAGGAGAAATATGGCATTACTAACATAGAAAAATATCACCTATTTTTTTATCTATTACCTTTAGTAATAGGCAGCACAAAACTAATTTTCATAAATTTTTCCTTCAGTCTCTATATACTTTGAAAAATTTGCCCAATAATTATAGCATAAAAAATGTTAAATACTCTAAAACTTATAGTTAGATTATCCTTTTTTACACATTTAACTATCTAAAGAAATCTTCAAGTAATGTGATTTAACCTAGAGGAACTTAAAAAACAAAGTCAACAGCTTATATGCAAAAAATTCTTATGCCAGAATATTAATGCAATTTCAAGATGTTACAGATAGGTATCACACTGTTTTATGAAAAACACTGTAAAGATGAGTGTTATAATGGATTATAAGAATATAAAAATATACTATTTTACATTCTTAAAATACATGAAACTACACATATATTTAACATACTTGGAAACGATCTCCTTTTAATTCTTGATTTTCTCTTAGCCACTTAATTTTAGGATTGGGTGCTCCAAAAACTCTACAACGAAGAGTAACCATTGATGATACAACAGAACTAGTAACTGGATCTGGCCTTTCAGTAATAGTAGGCGGCAAAGCTGCAAATTTATTAAAGAATTTTAAAAAAAATAACTACACAGCATTTATAGTTTAAAAAATAACACTTTTTATTTTTATTTGTAAATAGTATTTTAAAGATATAACATAGGTTTTATTTTCATATTTTACTAAAATAATATATAATATTAATGCTTACCTAAAACATTTAGGTAGAAATCTTTGAAGATGTATCCATGGATATTTGAAGCATTGCACTGAAATACAGCGGTGTCAGATTTTTTAAGACTTTCAATTACAAGTACATTTGCACTTTTGTCCAATCTTCTCCTTGGATTTGGTCTGGCATCTGAAGGATTAAAAAAAAATTAAAGTATCTGAATAATGTAATCAGTGCAAAAGCTAATTACTTAACAGAAATGTACACGCTAAAACATAATTATAAATTGTGATTACAATGAACACCAGAATATTCATGATTCCTGAGATGAAATATAGCACAAAAATTTAACAAACATTACAATTATTCAGGAGACACATAACTAAATACAAAAAGCAACTACTATTTCATTTGAATTAAATAAAATTTAATACATACTATGAAGTTACTTTTCATTAAATACACAAATACACAACTGTTTGATTAAATGATAAAAACTTCCTTTCCATAGAAATTATATTTGCCAGACTAGCGACAAATTTATCAGCAGACAACATAAACCTGGAATCAAACTAAAAATGATACACGATGAACCATATCATTCAACAAATAAGTTATCATTTAATAGTTTCATTCAATTCAGGTCAAAATTAAGGAAAATAAATAATAAACAGATAAAATGAATAAAAGTAATTAGTAGTAAAAGGAAGATAAATTTTATTTTTACTAGCATATTATGCCAAAATAAATAATGACCAAATAGAATTAATATAAAGTAAACAGTAGTTGGAAGAAGATAAACTAAAGAAAAATCATACTTGCTAAAGGAATTCCATTCATAAACCATTCAACTTCAGGAGCAGGTATTCCACCAGAAACACATTCAAAAGAGACAGTTTCATCTTCAGCTCCATTTGTATTATTTGGCACATTTATCCAATATGGTGCAGCTAAAAATTAAACAGTTCATTATAGTTAGATTATCATTTTTTACACATTTAACTATCTAAAGAATCTTCAAGTAATGTGATTTAACCTAGAGCATGTTAAAAACAAAGTCAACAGCTTTATATGCAAAAAATTCTTATGCCAGAATATTAATGCAATTTCAAGATGTTACATTACAGATAGGCATCACACTATTTTATGAAAAATATTGTAAAGATTAGCATTATAAGGGATTGTTAATTTATCTGAATGCTAATTTTATTTCAAGTAAAAGGACACTGATTAGCAAATTCAGAAAACATTTATCAGGTCTCAATGCCCAAGCAGTATATGGTCATGTTTATTTTACTAGCATAAATTTTATAACCACACATTTGTACTAGTGTGCTAGGAGTTAAAATACAGAATACTGCTCTATAAATGAATAAACTAAAAAATACTTGATAAAATGTTTCCAGCACTCGCAGTGCAAAAACCTCAGTCATTTTTTAAATTAATACATTAGGTCTGGTAATAATTAAATAAACAAATAACGACACTTACATATTCAATTATATGAAAAAAAAGAATCACAAGGGAAGAGTACCACTTTTACAAAATGTCATCCAAATTTTGCATAATAAATGGAGATTAGTTGATTATGTTTAAAGTTCATTAAATAATTCTCTTGTGAGATTTTATGACTAAAGCCTGCTCTATACCTCTCTGTGTATGTATTACAGATGAAGAAGCATACTCTAAAGGAGTAACATTTCAACATTATTATTAATTCTTTTAATATCACACCTTTTTTACTTTATTTTACAAGACAATTTATTCATAAATCATCATCAAAAGAAAAGATAACATCATCAAAATATAAACATCGTCAAAAGAAACGCAAGACATGAAATATATTTTATAAGGTATGAAAGAAAAATAAATTACTTTTAAAACATTTTTTTCAATCCCTTACAGCTGTCTTACTAATGCATAATTTCTATACATAAATCAACAAATTTACTGCTAACATATAAAAGCAACATATTTTTGGATTGCTGAAAATCAGAATATCTCCTCATGAGAAGTCATGAATTTAGGTGGTGCGAAGGCAAGCACACATCACTAGTTGGAGTATTTACTCAGCCATTGTTTAAATATATTTGCTTTTCAGCAGGATTAGCAATCAACAGAAGATATGTTCATAAACTGCTAACTAAAAGTATTTTCATGCTGACATTAAAAAAAAAAAAAAAAAAGGGGGGGAATTTGTTTAGACAAAATGTTACAAGCTAGTATTTATTTACTGTACCTGATCATGTCTGGAATGATTTTAAAATAAATATTATCTAATTAATTGCACTTACACAAAAAGCTTTAAAATAAATAAAAGAGTATCTCCATGTTTTTAAAATTAAGCTGTTATTCTTTCTTGTTTAATTTGTGATCTGTATACAGAATTAGTGAACATGAAATATTTGTCCCCGATCTGAATTTTAAATAACTATGTTTATTGATAGAACATGTCAATCAAAATATGCTTTGGAAAAAAAAAGAGAGAATAGCCTGGAGGTGAATAAAAGATTAAAATTGGAAGTATAAAAATTTCAATACATTAATTATTAAAAATAGGTACAACAACATTCAAATAATTTTCAGCTATCCTTTGAGAAAAATTTGCAGTCGCTATTGATATTGAACTGATATTAAAGCATCATTGATATTGATAATATTTTAAGAATACTCATAATATATCTGAAATTAAAAATCTGCATTTATTTCTAGGATATTATAAGTTCTAATTTATTATTGTAAATCTCATGCTTTTCATAAATTGTTCCCATTTATCAATGTTCATGAATTTAAGTTAAAATACCTACAATTTGTATTATTCATTTTACTATTTTGATCTGTGGGCTACTGATTTAATAATTAAAAAAATAACTAAATAAAAATACAACTTTGCCTTTTTTTTCAATATTAGCTATGTATCATCTCTTTTATATTGATTTGAATAACAACAACAATACACAAGTTTGAAAGCTTATACAAAAGCTATTGAAAATGATACTGCTATTAAAAATATGTGCAAAAATTAACCATTGATGGGGGGGAATTAACCTTACAACTCACTTTAATTACTTCAAATACACTGTGTTCTACTGTAAACAAAAATGCGTTCTTGAAATTATGTGATACATAATTTTTCCAAGTTACTCTTTAAAGGAAAAATTTTAAAAATGCATTATAAAGTACAATAAATGATAAAGGACATTAAAGAATTAAAAGTACTAATACAATATTACATAGTTTAACAAATAAATGAAATCCTTTTTCATGCTCAGATAAGCAAATACCACTAAAAAGAAGCAAGTTTTGGAATCTGATCAAATTCCCATTAGATTTCCTGAAGAAATTGGAAAATGAGTATTCACACACACCTGTACAGTATATACTTGGAAATTCACAACATTTGAAGAATAGTCTTCACACGTATAGCATGAGCATAATTCCATATAAGTGGCTCTCAAATAAATTTACACAATAAAAATGTAAATAGACAATAAATAACTGGGGTATTACATAAAAATGACTACCTTGCACTGTAACAGCCATTGATTCTGAAGTTGATGAGCCAACTCCATTACTTGCTGTACATTCATATGTCCCTTCATCTTGGAAATCCACTTTTCTAATTTTAAGTGTCTTTCCATAGTTTGTGTAAGTAATGCGATTTGTTTGTAGGCTACTACCTTTTTTCGACCATACAATTCTTGGAACAGGGCTATTTCAAAGAAACAGAAATTAAATTAGAGTAACAGAAAACAGGTTTGTAAAATTAAATAAATAAATAAAAAAAATTTAATGAAAATTGCAAAAGTCTTCATACAACTTTTTCTTTCACTTTAACAAGAAGAGAAGTAGGGAGAAGTAGGAAAGTAGTACCAGCCACTTTATATATAAGTGGTAAATATATGCAATTAATTACAAACAATGCTATGCAAAGTATGTTCATTGTCTAATCAAACCTACTTTTAAATGACAATTTACAACATAACACAAAAATATGATAGCACTAAATCTTTTAATGGAGTAAAAGGCATTAATATTAACTGGAAACAAAAATCTTAAATACATGGAAAAATGTTATCCATTTCACCATTCATAAATGTTTAAAAGCAGACATGGAACAATTCTTACAAAAATACCTTTTAGCATAAAAACAGACATGAATCAAATTTTATATATATAAGGCATGTTTAAATGAAAGTTATTCGAAGGGCCGCATGCAAAAAGTTTTCATAGGATTTCATGGAACAAACGCGATAGTGACGCTGTATGTACGATGCATGTGTGTGTGGAAGGAGATGCATGCCAAATTCAGTCGTATGGACATGGCATTTATTCAAAAAGCGCTGGATGCAACTGCGTGAAAACAGATCAGCGAGCTGTAATTAAGTTTTTAACACTGGAAGGGTGGACATTCATTGAAGAATGGTGGCTGTGTACGGAGACATGCGTGTCGAAGCCCACGGTGAGGAGGTGGGCGAGAAAGTTTAGCGAAGGTTGCCAGGAGACAACGGATTTGCTGCGGCTCAGTCAGGTGCACACGGTTGTGATAGATAAGCTGATTATAGACATAATCAAGGCAAATCGACGTTGCAACATTCCTGACGTTGTAAATGAGTTTAATGTTTCCATCGGTACTGATCACAATATTGTCAGCAACATTCTGAAGTATCGAAAAGTTTGTTGACCCCGCATACTGTTTGACCACCACAAGAAACAGAAAATGGGCCTCAGTTTACAGCATTTGGTGAGCTACATGGCTGATAATGACGACTTTCTACTGTACATAGTGGCAGGGGATGAAACCTGGTGTCACCACTTCCAACCAGAAGGGAAGTCCATCAGCATGCAAGGTAAAAAAAATTCAAAACTCAGCACTCACCCAAAAAGGAGATGTTGACGGCAATTTTCGACATTCACTCTCCTATTACTGGAGTTTAAGGAGCTGAATATCTCCACCAATGCCCAATGGTATACCATATTGCTTAATATACTGCATAAGGCTATCAAAAACAAATGCCCAGGTATGCTGTTGTTAGGTGTCATACTTCTGCACGACAATGCAAGCTCGAATGTCGCCCCAGTGTTTCTCGAGGCATTGGCCTGTAAAAAGTGGGAAGTCTTGGAATATCCAGCTTACAGTCCAGATATTCGCCTTGTGACAATCACATCTTTGGACAGCTGAAGAAAAGCCTAAGGGATCAATGCTTTCAAGTCTGATGAAGGTGAAAAGGCTGCAGTTATGAACTGGTTCCATGATCAACCGACATTGTTCTTTGCAGACGGAATTTGTAACCTTCCCAAGCAATGGGACACAATGGGTGATTTTTTTAAACAAACATTGTATGCATTTCAATCATTAAATATTGCTGTTCCTATCTATGTACCTGTTTCACTTCTGTTGCTACACATCTCATGGATACTTACCTCAAATCACTTTCATTTGAACGCACCTTTCTATATATTAATGTATTAGGCAAATTATTCTTGTAAATCATGCTAGCCTTTTAAACTCAACTGAAATTTTAAAATTTCCTCGCATAAAATTAAAATATTTGTTTGACAATACAATAAAAAATGGCAGGTTTTGCAATGCTTCTTAAAGGAAAATATCAGGAAAGTCTTTACTTCTAATTTCAACCTTTTTAATAGCATTTTTAAAAAATAATAGCATTTTTAAAAAATGTCATGCTGCACTCCAAAGGTTAAAACTATGACATTTAATAAAAGGGTGTATTGAAGTGTTTCTTTAAAATATTTCAGATCAAAACTGCAAAGCAGCATAAACCAACATACAATACATAAGCTAATTTAAAAGCGTATATACATACGTTCCACCAAAGATGCAACTTAGTTCCAGCTTATTTCCCCTTAAAGCAACAATATTTGGGTTTGAGACATACTGCTTTGTTGGTGGGTATTTATTCTGACCAGGACCTAAAATTGAGAACATATTAATAGAAACTGCACACTGTTTTCATAACAGCATTATAGTTACAACATAAATCCAACTAAAAAAAATATTGCATCATAATACTTACTACCTGCAGTTTCAACACGTAATAGTATTTTGTTGCCTAATTTATACTCATTGCGAAACATAGATGTAGCACTGCAAGCATATTGAGCGTCATCCAAGGCATCTGCATCTGTTACATTAGAAAAATGTAAATTTCCTTCTGGATCTACAGTTATACGAGAGCTAGAGTAACCAAAAAAAAAAAAAAGTATAAACAACTGAAATTTTTACTAACTAAAACAAACAGCAAAATGTATTTAATGCATTTTACTAGCTATGGGCAAGACAAAATCCATGAACATTATGTTTTAACATTTATATAAAATGTTATATTTATATAAAAATTTACTTTCATACGAAAAATAAGGATTTCACATATTTCTAAAATTTAGCTTTTGCTGTCATAATTTAATAATCTCCCAATATCTCAATTTTATTTACCTTGCAGTTTTAATAAATCTAAAAAATTCCCAACATAATGAATAGGAAAATTATTTCTTATTTACAGTCAATTCACATGGACTTGAATATTAACAAATATTTTAGCTTGAAAGAAAATGATTAGTATAAAAAGCCAAAATAATTCTTTTAAAAGAATTAGAAACTTAATATAAGTGCTCTTGTTAATGCTACTAACTATATTCTTCTTTATTCTGCTAATAACTATAATTCTTCTTTATCCTTCACAATAAAACAAATTATGAAGGTTAACATAGCACACATTAGGCATAAAATACTTATCATTATAAGTGCTCACAAAAAGTTCAGATAATTTTAGTTTCTAAAAGAAATGTTAAAATTTTTAATGAATCCAAGAATTTTTTTTTTTTTTTTTTTTCCAAATAAGTACCAAGTCTACTTTTTCCAAGTTAACAAATTAACAGTTTGTAGGAAAATCAGATCATAAAAATCAGTTTTTAGCATACAGAAGAGTCACAGAAGAATACTGAGAATTGATATTGACATTAGAAAATGACTAAGGTGATGACTAAGGATGGCCGAGCTTATTGATGTTCTTTATAATGGACCAATACAAGCATATTATTATTTTCAAAAGAAATTTGGGATCACTGGCATAAAAATTCATCAAGCAAAATAATGGCCTTGAGCTATGAAACTGCCATGAACTCTGGCTACTGGTTAACATTTTTGAATATTAAAAGTACAGTACATTCCCGATTATCTGCGGAATTGGGTGGCGTGGCCGCCGCGGATAATCCGAAAAAAGCAGCAAAAGAGAAACAGTCGTTCCAACTATGAAAAATCGTTTTCCGTATAATAAAAACATAAAATAAACAGCAGGAAATGTTTAACTAACGCTTATTATTTTAGTATATCACTCAAACTACCTAAAATGCATTTGTTAATGAAACAGAAAAGTGCTTGTCCTTATGAGAGGCGTCAGGATCCAGAAAAATTAAAACATATGTACTGTTTTAATATTGTAATGTATTATGTAATTAAAAAGAATAACTGTAAAACTACTCTTTTAGAAGAAATCCATTGTGTTGTCTTGATTTGAAGCATTTTCTCTTGATCCGAGATGCATTTTTCTTAGATAGTTCTCAGCCAACTCCGAGCGTCTTGTTCTTCCAAATAGCTCAGCAGTCCGTCGACTTGTGCAAAGCTTCGTAAGTCTTCCGCATCTGAACAGTGGGCTCTCTTCCCCTTTACTTCACTCTCCTTCTCGGTCTCTTCCCTGCTTTCTTCACAATTTCGTCATCTTTCAGCGTTCGAAGCCGGTTCATTGCGTCACACTCCAACCATCATAATGTTCGCATCGACGTCTCACCACCGGAACTGTTTTCACATATCGGCAAGAGTTGCAGGGCATGTCTACATTTCTCTTCACAACTCAAAGGGGTTAGGTTGTTGTGGCTTCAACACTAGGCATGAGTTTTCTCCATGTTTTATGAGGGTTGACGGTTACTGAGTCCATGCAGATGCAATATCGTAGATGCTCCAAGATTGTGTAGTGTTTCCAAAACTCTTTCAGATATAACCTTCTTCAATTTTGGCATTACAGTTGGTTTGGCATGTTCTCTTCTTGTTGAATGACCTTGTCCATGGGTGGATTAGCTCAGTACTGTTGGGGGGAGAAACTTTGCAAAGATTTGTCCTCAGAAGACTTAGCATGCTTGTTTGTGGTGAAAGAGCATTGTCGATAATAGCACAGGTTTTTCGATTTAAGATATTTACGCACTTGAAGAACAGAGATTTTTTCGAACCATCTTGAAAAATGTTTCGGTCCATCCACCCTTTTTTTTTTTTTTTTTTTTGGGTTAAAGTAATCAACAGGCAAATTTCTATCTTGTGCCTTTGAAAGATATCGTTATTTTTTTGACTTTACAAAGACAACAAGTCTAAGTTTATGTCCACCGGTAGCTTTATTGCAAGACATGATAGTGATCCTTTCTTTGCTGCTTTTATGACCCCCGCTTTACTTTCACTTTCAATGCTCAAGGGCGAGTGGGAAGACATTTCCACAAGAGTACTGATTCATCGGCATTGTAAATGTTCAAAAGATAGCTCTTCTTTTAAAACAACTTCAAATTCATGGTGGAAATCGTCGGCTGTTGTTGGTCACCACTAATTTTCTACCATGAAGCCAATTTCTTGGAATTCCTGTCGCTGCTTAAAACAGTCAACCGCCAGAAGACGCATCAAATTCCTTTCAGGCCTAACAAACTCAAAGGTTTTTTGCCTTCGCCGCAATGATAGGACCATTTAAAGGAGTACCCTCATTTCGAACTTAAGCTAACCACTCTGTCAATGCCGTGTCTAGCTCATCAAAGGTAGAAGCACTGTCCGACATTGATGCAAAGTTCACCAGTTTGTCTTTTTGCTTTAGAATGTCACGCAGTGTTGTTTCCGCAATTTCGTAATCCAATTCCATCTGCTGCCTTGTAGCACCGTTTGCTACTTTGAAAATAAATTCTAGTTTTTTCGCAATCCTCAACACAACCTTCTTTTGTTTTCCTGACATTTTAAATCTGTAAGGAAAAACACAAAACCAAAAACTGAATTCAATAAAAGATAAGAAATTAACTCCGACCGGTTCACAAACACTATCAGGCTTAAACTAACAATGGGGAGTGGGAGGAAGTGGACGTGTTAGTAAGATTAAGACGAGAGAGCACAGTGAAGCGGGCACTGCAAAGGTGAGTAAGAAATCAGTTACTCTTCAAAGGGGAAGGTTCCGAGAAGGCCTGGGATATTTTTGCCATAAATAAGCACGATGTTTAGCAAATTTAACGTTTTGCTCAGTTTTGTGAACATTTTTATTTTCTTTGCTTTAGGCCTGTAAAAAAAAAAAAAAAAAAAAAAAACCACTTTGTGCGGCAGGCGCGTATAATCCGCTCTGCGCATAATCCGCCCGCGGATAATCGGGAGTTTACTGTACCTTCTCAATATCGATATTTAAACGAAGAAGTGGAATATAGATTTTTGAAACCTTCTTTAAAACAGAAATTGAAATTAGCAAAGCAAGAGGAATAGAGAAAAAATTAGACTAGAACTAATAATAATAATAATAATAATAATAAAACTAGTTTGAAACCATTACAAAATAATGAAACTATACTTCTGGAGCTAACTAGAATTGAATAAAATATTAGAAAAACTTTTCAACACTATTTTTTGTTTTTACTTGATAGAATAACATGCATTCAATAATTTTTGTGAGAAAATTTTCTCACTCGGAATAGAAGTGCATTTTAAGCTCAATATTTTATTTAGAAAAAATATGTTGTGTAAAAAGAGGCTGAGAAGCTACTATCCCAGTGGATCAACTGCTCTGCCCCCCCCCAAAGTACAAAAGAACACTAAATAAATGTCTACTTCACAGAAAAATCACATTTTATAATTTCAGTTTAACATATTCGTAATTCCTGACAGTAATTTTGGAAATAAAAGATGTTTGATTACTTTGTGAGACACAAAAGATTCTATAAGTAATAAATCCGCATTACATCACATTTTAAGTACTAAATCCACATGCATATATAACATTTCATGCAGTTTTAAAAGCATTTTCTTTTGACACTATTATCACAATGAAATTTACATAGCAAAGCACACAGTTAATGATACTATACAATAGATTCTCTTTCTTTGGCACATACACACATATATGTTCACCTTACAAAGAACCTTAGATAAGTCTATTTTTCTCTCTCCTCCCTCTTTTTTAAAATTCAGAAACAGCATTTATAGCAATGATATAATTACTTTTCACTTTAGATGTTTTAGATATAAATATGTTACCTATTTATGCTGTGAAGTGCTCCTGTATTTGATTGGATTATCCAAAATATTGTAGGTTTAGGATAACCTGATGGAGGTTTGCATGATAAAGTCAGAGGTTCCCCTTCAATAACAAAAACTTCTTTTGTTTCTTCATCAGGAAATGAGTTGAGTTCTGAAAAATACATTTCATTTGTAAAGGCCTAAGAAGATTTTACAAAATGTTAAATTAAACTCTACAAAAGTAGTTGATTGATTTCTAGTTAATATTTTAGATATCAAGGCCAAAATTTGTTGCATGTAATAATACATAAGGACAAATGTATGCTGTATGAGTTGTTCCTCAGCAGTTCTACTGATATTGAAATCAAAATAAAATTGCAGTTACCGTAATTTCCAGAAGAAAGGCCACATCAGCGTTAACGCCTCACTCAGAAAAAATGGCGGGAAAAAAATTAAAATTACACAGAAACGCCGCAATATATTAAATTGTGTGTGACATCGTCATGGGCCGTATAGATGCAAAAACTCAACCTAAGTCCTGATATATGACATATCAGTTAAGAAAAATGCATGAAATGAAACCATAACTCAAAAATAAATTAAAGGTAGAAATGTGGAAAATATATTTACCTTCACGTATATACTTATATTATCCACTAAGAAGTCCATATTGTAATACTCGACTATATTATAAAAAATGTTGCAACAACGAAGTATTAAATTTGGATGACAAAGGAATTTTTAATTTTACTTACGATTACAGCAAACTATACATTCTATGAGGCCTCAAAATCTGATCTTCACTATCTGAATTAAAAGATTTGAAATCCTGATCTAAGTCTTCCAGATTGTCGCATTTCTCTTTGTTTACATCTTTTATCTAAGGATTAATTTCAGCTTCTTTGAACTGCTATTATGACGAGTTTCTACTGATTCCACGCACTTCCTGCCCACTTTGCAATTTCTTATAAGCGCTCTACGCATTTTACCGCTTTTTGTTTACGTATGCAATCCTTCACTCATCAACACCCCACCGCTTTCGGACTTCAGCTTTGAAGGATTTTATTACTTGACAAATCTAACGGTTGTAAGATTTTGTCAAACCACCAGGAATTATTGCTTCGGTCGTAGACAATTTTTGACATCTGTTTTCACTGACTCAAAGAAATGAGCACGCATGGATCCATTATCAATAACCTTTGGTTGGAAAAAAGATCTCATACGACACTGCCAACTTTTTGTAGCCACTCATGCACGATTGTTTCACACATCCATCCATTCTCGTTTGCACAAATGATTACGTCATTAGGAAAATCTCCCTTTGGAATAGTTTTTCTTTCTTTTAAAAATGATCATCGGCTTTAGCTTATCACCGTTTGCGGTATAAGCTAACACACATGTAAATGACATTCTTTCATGCCCCATCGTAAGCACAGATACAGGTTTTGCACCAGTTTCATCAACAGTCCTGTTTGCAGGTGAGTCGAAAGCTAACAGTGTTTCATACATATTTATTATCTGTGATGGAAGATGTCTTTTTTTTTTTTTTTTTTTTGGTCAATAATATATGTCACATGTTTTAGAAAAGATGACTTTTTATCCTGCCATCCTTGGTATTGTGTGCCCGAGTGTTGTTCTAGACGGACAGAAAATTTTTTCTTTTCATAAATCGGCTACACCTCCTTTGAAATCATTTAGGTTCATTCGTTTTGCTATTTTTGCTTGTAAGCGAATTTTACAGTCAAAATTGCCCCCTTTCCTCGTTGCTCCTTATCCAGTTTGCAAGGCGTCCGAGATTTGGCCACCTTACAGTACCACTTCTTTGGCTCGTTTCTGTTGTGGCCATATTATGAAGTCTTTTTCAGTCTTCAACGCGAATACATCGTTGTCCACTTCAAACTCTCGAGCTGCGGCTCGATTTCCAATTTGTTCAGCACGTGAAATTACATTAAGCTTAAACTAGCAGTATAGTTTGGCCCGTTTAGGACATTTCAAAAATTTTCCGCTCCCTTTACTTAAAACTATTCAACAGTCTTGTACCCAAACTGAGGGATCTGTATCTGGCAGAATGACAAGAAAATCCATTCATGCTGAAGGGGAATACGTCGAGTTCGTTTACTGCGAGACAGGTGAGTCGTGTTCGCCTTTGAAAAAAATTGCAGAAAAGGCAGGGGTGGGGAGAGGATGGGTCCCTGGAAGATTCATCGAATGGCAGAGGAGAGAGACTATTCAAACTGATGAAAATGTTGATTTGAAAGGGGGAAGAATGTTATTGTTCTGAGATCTCTTTAGGGTGAATAAGGCATGTAGGTCCGTTCAAAGGGAAGAATGTAAACAAAATAACGTTTGCGAAAAGCAACTGAGTGGTCTTTTGTGTGGGAACAGCACCAGTCTATGCACAATGACAAGGCCATCCAAACTATGTACAATGACCATCATAAGAAATATTTTATTTTTAGTGCACCTAAACGCCGCGTGGGTAGAAACGCCGCACCCGCAGAAAATTTAAGTTTTAAACACGTAAACGCCGTGGCGTTTCTTCCAGAAATTACGGTAAAAGAAATGAGATTCATTAAACACAGAGTTGAATCTTTGAGACAGCTGGAAAATGTAACACTTGATAAATACCACCAAAATATTATGTTATTTGAATACTTTAATATTTCAGAACAGTTCTCTAGATACAATAATAAAAAGAATGAATCCATTACTTATGTTGCCTTGCACTTTATTGAACAAAATGAGGATGCCACAACAAGGATTGATATATTGTTTATCATGAGGAGATATTACACAGTCTGTGAAAACTCAAGGATAATTCAATATTATAAATATGATATATGAATACATGTACAGTAACAAATAATTTGGGGATCTTCTCTATTATAGGACAACACGTGTTAAACTATTTTCGCAAGAAAGACTCATGAGCCAACTTAATGCTTCAAGCAAGAAGACATATTTTCATTATTTTAACTGAAGTAAAGTTTTCCTCTAAACATAAGAAATATATCTCTTAGGTTAATTATCTCAATAAACAAATAACCAAACAGAATGACATGTTTTATAAATTTTTAATTGACAATATTTACTTTGAAAATAAGAATATTGTTATAAGAGATAAGAACAACATATTTAATTTAATGCTGGTCAGTAGGCAACATCAGCACATATATCTTTTGCTAGAAAATTGTTTGACAAGTTTTGCCCGATTGTCGCCTTTGCTTACTAAAACTCAGCTTCCACGAACGCCCTCTGGCGGAAGAGATTAAAAGTAGTTAGTTGAATGGCTAAGCCCCTAAAAGCACTCACCACACCTCGACTAGAGATACTCGCTTGCACTATTGGAGCCTCTCATACAATAAAAGAAGACTTGAAACTAAAAGAGGTTCCAGTTTTTTACTGGACGGATTCTACAAATGCCTCTTTTGGATAAAACAGAAAGAAAATTGGTTCACTTTTGTAGCCAATCGAGTGAATGAGATTCGAAAATTGAGTAGCCCAGATCACTGGCATCACATTCCCGGAAAGTTTAATCCTTCGGATTTGCCATCACGCGGTTGCTCTGCAAAAGAATTGAGGAAATCCGAATGGTGGAAAGGACCAGATTTGATCTATCGACCTCCAGAAGAGTGGCCTATTGCAGATGGAGAACATCCTCTGACTTAGAGAATTAAATTTCATTGTGATCTCACAATGAAATTTACATAGCAAAGCCGACAGTTAATGATACTATACAACAGATTCTCTTTCTTTGACACATACACACATATATGTTCACCTTACAAAGAACCTTAGATAAGTCTATTTTTCTCTCTCCATATGGAGAGAGAAAACGAACTGTGATTTTAGAGAGCAATAACACAAATAAAAGTAAATTTTACCTTTTTAACAATATTTCAAGTTTTGAAAGATCATAAAGGTCATATCTCAGATCTTTCATTAGAAATGCTACAGCACAACCATCTGAAAGAAATCATGGCAGAATTTCAGTCGAAGATATAAAGGAGCTGAAACGATGATTTTCTGACTGATCCAACAAGAATCTTTTGAAGGATTGAAAGATAAGATAATATGTGCTCTACAACGTATCATGGACTCCTATGGCCTTATGAAAGTGAAAACACGTATCTTTCAGAGAGACGATGATGCTGAACTTTCGTTAACCAGTTTTACTTCCCTCAGAACATCCATTAGTATTAAAACTGATCAAATCTGAACATGAAAGGCTAAGTCACGCTGGAGTACAATTCGTTATGTGCGCTTTGCGTGAAAAATATTGGATCATAAAGAGTAGGAAGACAGTACGCAAGGTTATCCAAAACTGTGTACGATGTCGAAGGTTCGACTCTGATTCATATAAGACTCCTCAAGCGCCACTACCTGAAGACAGAATAAGAGATGCTTTAATTTTTGAGATTATTGGTGTTGATCTGACGGGTCCCTTAATTTTAAAAGGAGGCCAAAAAACATGGATCGTCATTTTTACTTGCGCAATATATAGAGCAGTTCACTTAGAGCTAGTCTCATCTCTATCAACCGAAAGTTTCCTGCACGCGTTCAGGCGATTCATCGCTCGAAGGGGTAGACCTGTCACTGTATACTCCGACAATGGAACCAATTTTGTTGGATCAAATAATTTGTTTAAGACCATAGATTGGAATTCTATCTTAGAAAATGCAACAGTTAAGAAAATTGAATGGAAATTTATTCCCCCTTCCTCGCCATGGTGGGGAGGGTGGTGGGAAAGATTAATTGGAGTACTAAAGAGAATTCTTCGAAAGGTACTAGGAAAATCTTCTCTGAACTACGAAGAATTGTTGACAATCATTTGTGACTGCGAGAGCATTATGAACAACCGTCCCTCTCACGTATTTGTCAGAAGACGTAAAAGGATTTAAGAGCTCTCCCCCCAGCAATGTTTCTAACAGAAATTCCAGAGACTGGAGTTCCTGAATTAGATCTTTTGGATTCTAAATCCATCAATAAAAGATACCTTTATAGAACCAAATTGAGAAAAGACTTACGCAAAAGATTTCGATCAGAATATTTAAGGCACCTAATACAAAGCTCACAATTCATCTGCAAACCATCGTCTGTGAAAGTTGGTGATCTTGTAATTGCATCCAACACTGAAAAAAGGATAAACTGACCTTTAGCTAGAATCTTGGAAGTTTTTCCATTTCACGATGGACACATTAGATTAGTGAAACTGAAAACTGCACAAGGGGAGATTATAAAACCTACTAAGAATCTCATACCTCTTGAACTCAACTTTACATCTGAGTTGGATATGAAAGTGAGGTACAGAACTCAATGTATGACGAAATCTCAAAAGACTTGAACTATAGGTTAGTTGAGGTCCATCCTCTGCTGATACTAGACCTCAAGTGTCTAGTAGGGAGTGTCGAGTTTGCTTACTAAATCTCAGCTTCCCCGAACGCCCTCTGGCAGAAGAGACTAAAAATAGTTAGTTGAACGGCTGACATGTCTAACATAAGCCACAATGATAGACTGTCTCTGTATATATTAGAAACAATGTTTGTATTCATTATAACTTGTAAATATTATGTAAATATCTTTCACATGTTATTAACAACTTCTAAAAAAAAGTTTATAGCAGTGTTCCGCTGTAAATCGAATTTCAGCATAGACATGGATATCGAAAGGAAAGCAAGGCAGTTCAAGGCAGCCCTTTAGAAGGTTAAGTGAATTTTCACTTATACTGATAATGGATAAATCTTGATTTTTTTAACAATATATTATTGTTATTTCTGTCTATGGCTGCCAAAAACTGAAAGGGTGAAGAGAAATAACTCTACCTAATTCATTTCTTAGATAAATGAAATTCAACGCTTTCACATTTAATAAACTGCACACACTTACTTATCCTTTTCATTTAATGATTATTGATATATAAAACACTGTTGTCATTTCTTTTTATAAACAAGTCTAAAAATTTCAATATTGTAAATTTCATTTTTAATGCGATATAATCTGTTTCAATGTAGACTAATATAAAGATTTTTAATTTATGTAATATGAATATGTTTCAATACAATCTTATACAGACTGTAAAAGTAATCAAAAGAAAGTCAATAAAATTTGATGCTGCCAGTTAAATTTCCATTTTGAAGGCTGATATGTAATATGAATATGTTTCAATACAATCTTATACAGGCTGGAAAAGTAATCAAGAGAAAGTCAATAAAATTTGATGCTGCCAGTTAAATTTCCATTTTCAAGGCTGATTAACAATATCAATTAAATGAAAAATCCTAATGTGTTTCAAAATCATTATTTATTTGCACTATAAAAGCTTAATGTAAAATTAACTATTCATTAATAAAAGAACTACCCATTAGATTTGGATTTTAGTTCTATACCAATGTATTAGGCTATATTTATTTTTTTAATAAACAATTAAGTTATGTTTCAGAATGTTATTTAATTTCATTCAAACAAATAATACCTGCTTTTTTTAAATGCACTGCTACAGAAACGGATGTTCCATAAATATTTTCTGCGAAACACTGATAAATTCCTTCATCTGTATCAATTGGCTTATTGACATAAAGAGTGCCTCTTTTGGGTTGCTGGTTAATTCTATCACTCTCTTCTGAAAAATCAAATTTTTCACTGTTTTTCGTCCATCGATATCTATAAAATAAAGCAAAAATAAAATTTTTTATACAAGATGAATAAAATAATATTTATAACAAAATTTCAAAAGTTAAAAATTTTGCAACAGAAAATATACCAAAACGTTTCTTCTAGTTTTAACTATACATGAAAAACAGTAATCATTTGTATCTGGTTATAACGAAAGTTTTCCACCAGAAAAACATTCTTAATAAAGTTACGGGAAAAAAGCATGAAAGCAGTATCTTTAGTGCAGGTAGTAATCCCCCCATCTATGATTTTCTGCCAACGTTTCGGTGAGTTTTTCGAAGCCTTCAGCCAAGAAACTTGGTGGCCGAGTCCAAACACAGATTAACCTGGTTTCGGATAAACTGTGCAGAATGGAAGATAGTAACAGGAAGATATAGTTGCAGGTGTGAAAAAAGGTAGAAGTCCCTTGATGTCGGGGGTATATGGTGGGTGTGGTAAAAGATCCTATTCGAGTCCGTACAGAGAATGCAGACGTATGTCGTCTTGCATTATCTTGATGGAACATTATTTTTTTGCATCAGAACTCAGTTGGAACCTTTTTTCTGGATAGCAGCATCAACATGGACTAGCATCTCACTGCACACCTTACTGTAGAGGATTTTACCTTTTTCCAGATACTCTTTGTGGATCTTTTTCCAGATACTCATGCAATCCTACCAAATACATAACATGATCTTTTTGTAAGTCAAATTGCACTTTGCAATGTTGCCAATGGGCTCATTGGGTGCAGACCAACCCATTTTCAGCCTGCGCTGTTGAAGTAAATCCACTTTTCATCACACTAGACGATCTAGACGGAACTTGGTCCTTGCATTAATATTCGAGCAGATTAGTGCAGAGCCAAACATGTCTGTCCTTACCTGCTTGAGTCAGCTTATGCGATATCCAGCGATTGAACTTGTACATCAAGTTTATGCGATGCATAGAGCAAATAATGGACATGACACTAATGTCTAACTCCTTAGCAGCTCTCTCGAAGGGTTGCATACTGATCTTCTTCCACAAATTCTCACAAGCGGGCTTCATCAACTTCAGTAGGCCAGGCAGAGGGCTCTTCTTCTTGAATGTCATAGTCCTTGTTTTTGCACTTTCAGTACCAAACCTTCACGGTGTCATATGATACAACATTAGTACTTAAAGCTGTACACATGATTTGGTGACATTCTGTAACTGACTTCTTGCAACAGAACTGGACGTAAATGATGGTTCTAATCTGGTATCGGGATAGTTCCATTTCAGACATCTTGTACTCAATGATAATAATATTTTTTTTACAAATTCCATAACCCAATGTTCTAAAGCGCAAAATAAGATTAAAGACAGCAACGGCAACTGTTTACGCAGATGATATTTGCGGTGGCGGGAAACTTCGTTAAAGCCTGATGGATTCTACAGCCTTATAGATTTTAATATTGAGATACTGCATATAGATAATTTATTTACGAATAAATGATAATGTTGAATCAGATTTTAATTGCATTCTCCTGGGGAATTTTGGGTTTTACTGGTTTTGAATTTCATTTCATTGTGAATTTGTTTCTAAATCTCTCTCTCTCTCACACACACATACCATAATTTCGGGTTGATAAGCCACAGCTTATACATGTTTAAAAGTTGAAAATTTAGATTAGCGGCGTATCCACCTGAGCGGCATATTTGAGGGAATTTTATTTTTCTTCTGTCCTTAAAACTTCGCTAATTCAGATCTTAAGTAACTAAGAAGCGAGGCGATAACAATTCGCTGCAATATTCTAAGCTCAGATTGCGCTAAGGCAGTGCAATGAGTCCAAACTCCTCTAAGGTAGGTAGAGTGCTTTCTGTAAAGACACTGTAATGCATGTACTTCCTCCTAAACTACATGGTTTTTCCCGTGTTTTCCTATGACTTTTTGTTTTACTGGCAACAGCAACATTTACTTTCCAAGTGCTGTGTTCCTTCATACATGTTTTTACTGCTTTGTAACTTGCTTTTTGTTTGCTATATCATTTGTGCTTTAAAAATATTATTATTGTAATGGCTCCTACTCAAAGAAAAAGTTATACAGCTGCTTTTAAGCTTTCGGCAGTGAAGAAAGCCATCAAAATTGGAAATTGTGCTGCGGCTAAAGAATTTCAAGTTGACGAGCTATGCATTCGGCAGTGGAAGTCTGAACAAGAAGAATTAGAGAAAAATGCCTAAGAATAAAAGATCTCGTCGAACTGGTGTCATAGCCTGGCCTGTTTTGGAAGACAATTAAGAGAAATGGACTATAGAGAAGAGAGAAAGTGCATTATCAGTATTAACAGTTAGAATTCGCCTTCAAGCAAAGATAATTGCTCAACAAATGGGCATTAAAAATTTTGTTGTTGGACCTAATTGGTGTTTCAGGTTCATGAAGCCAAAGAAATTATCCGTCCGGACCAAAACAACAGTTGGGCAAAAGCTTCCAGTCCACTGGAAAATAGCATACATCTAAGAAAATTAAAGAACAAAATTTGAAAAGAGGGCAAATAATTAATATGGACGAAGTGCCCATTACTTTTGACTGTCCTCCGAGCAGAACTGTTCATTCAATAGGGAAAAAAACTATTTCAGTATTAACAACTGGAAATGAAAAGACTTCTTTTACTTGTGTTTTGGGTTGTTCTGCCAATGGAGAAAAGTTAACCCCTTTGATAATTTTCAAAAGAAAAACAATTCGAAAAATAAACTTCCCAAAAGGAGTTATTATTTGTGCCAACGAAAAAGGATGGATGTGCGAAGAAGTGATGTTGTTTTGGCTGAGATAAATTTATTGTAAAAGGAAAGGTGCTTTTTTCCAACCCCGAGGACTCATTGTTCTGGATTCAATGCGATCTCATTTAGCGGATACGGTAAGATCTGAAGCAAAAAAACTTAGTACCGATGCCTAAGTGATACCAGGTGGGCTTACAAAAATTTGACAGCCGCTAGATCTCACTATCAATAGAACTTTCAAGCCCGAACTACGAAAGCAGTGGGAGGAATGTATGCAAAGCGGATTACATTTCTTCACGAATTTCGGACGAATGAGAAAAACTTCGTATGAGGAGGCTGCCTTATGGGTCGATAAAGAATGGCAATCAGTTCGAGCTGATACGATCATATTGGCTTTCATTAAATCGGAAATCATTGAAAAAGAAAATGAAAGTGAAGATAGTGACGTTGAAAGAAGTGGATTTAGAACAGAATGATGAAACTGACATTGATGGTCATTTATTAAATTTATTTAAATCAGACATCGATGAGTCGGATTTTGATGGTTTTGTATACAAAAATGTAGTTTAATTTAATTAGAAAATTCTGTTTGTTTATCTAATTTATGTATTCTTTTTCATAATGTGGTAATTTATGCTGATAAACGGGGTTTACTGAAAACGTAAAAATAATATATTAGAAATCATCAGAGTTTGTTTTCGGCTAGTTCAAGGTAAGATGCTTCTTCTTTATTTATATATGACTGATTATATTTATGTTGTAAATGTTATCAATGATGATTACACCAATATGGAAGGGAATTATTGAATAAATGAATATTAATTGCCATGCTTCGGAGTGCTTGGCTGCGGCGTATATGGCGGTGCGGCTTATCCGATGACCTTTTATTTGTTTTCAGTCAATTATCATGTGTGCGGCGTATACGCCAGGGCAAATTATCCACCCGAAATTACGGTATATATAAATATATATGTGTGTGAAATATAGTCAATGAACAGCCAACGAGGTCTGGCATCATCCCAGAAAGCAAAGGCCCATCTCTAGTGAAATGCAGTGAGCTATAAATCAAAACACTTATGACAGATTAGATATACGACAGATTTAATTTTTTAACATAAATTTAAGAAACACTAGTTTTAATATAATTTTAACATAAATTCAAAAAAAGTTTTACTAGTAGGACTTTTGTGCAAGACCAGTGCCAAAGCTGGTGCAGTTGTACCAGCTGGCTGGCAAAATTTTTACGATTTGGAGAAGACACATGCAGCAAAGCTAAGGGATAGCTACATTTTTAAAGTTCAAAGACAGCACTAGCTACATGTATGGGCAAAAAAATTTTTAAAACTTAGGAGGGCATTTGGCAGCAGAATTTAGAATTCACAGAGATTGCTCTGAGTATCAAAATGTTTAGAGCCAACTCTGATTTTCTACGATGATGCATCCTTACAAAAATCAAATTTAAATATCTATAGGATTATGAATGGGGAAGGGGACTGGAAGAAGAAAATTAAATTAAAAAGAGAGAGAGAGAGAAAACACAAGAATTGTGAAACCATCAATATTTCTTATCAAATATTGCAACAACAAATCTATGATTTTTTATTACTGACCATAATTTTGACAGGCACAAGGCAAAGAACATCCACGTATCTTTGCAAGAATGCACTCATTTAGTACAGGGTGTTTATAAAAGAATGATACAATTTTAAAAATTAATAATAAATTTATGTATTTACCTTACTCATGGTAAAACCTACATTGTAAGCACTAACAACTGTCCAAGTTTTGTATGCACTACCTGCTTCTTGCTTGTCACGCTTACTGTGCAGCTGCAGTGCCAGTTTCCATGATGGCACTGCAACATGAAAAAGATTTTTGTGCGCTCCCTTTTGAGATGTCCAGATCTGTGGTTACAGTGCAGCACGAGTTTCATGCATGGTTTAAGAAAGAAGCACCACACAAGAATAACATAAGTAGGTGGTACTGACAGTTTGTGAAAACCGGATGCCTTTCTAAAGCCAAGACTTCTGGTTGACTTCACATGTCTGATGCAAATGTTGAAAGAGTGTGCAAGACATTTCAGCGAAGTCCTTCAAAGTCACTTAGAAGCAGCTCAAGTCCTTGCATGCAGGAAATTGGACATGCCAAAGAAAGCTGGTGTTACATAAGCAGCTATGTTTTAAACCATACAAACCAGGTTTATTGCAGACCCTTACATAAGCAGACAAAGTGAAAAGGTGTGACTTTTGTGATGAGATGCAGTTAAAAATGAAGCATGGGTTTGTAGACAGACTCATCTTCTGCAATGAAGTCACTTACGTGGAAAGTGACAAGAAGAACAAATACAATGTTCATATCTGGGGAAGTGAGAAACCACATGCAGAGCATCAGAGTGACTTTCCACATGTGAACATTTTCTATGCGGTGTCCTGCAAGGAAGTGCATGGCCCATTTTTCTTTGAACAAGAAACTGTGACTGGTGACTCATTTCTAGACTTGTTGGAAACCTGGTTGTTACCCTAACTGAACACCTATTATGAAGATCACATTTTGCAAATGGATGGTGCTCTGCTCCATTTTCAAAGGATGCACCAGAGCTTCTTAATTGTGTTCTTCACCAACGCTGGATTGGATGTGCTGCAACTACAGACAACAACCTTCTTCACTGCAACCCCATTCACTGGATTTAACACCATGTGATTTCTTTCTTTAGAGGTTTGTTTACGATCAAGTTTATGTACTGTCAATATGTATGTTCCTTGAGAAAATTTGTGATTCGATAAAGCATGAACTGCAGACCATTATGGATACAGCATGCACTGCAGATTATTACGGTGGACATGCTACACCAAGTATGAGTAGAATTTGATTCCATGTAGATGTGTGTCATGTGACCAAGGGTGCACATATTGAAGGATTGTGATTAATACATCAAAAACGTAAACAAATTCCACTGCTTATGATGTAAGGTTTGCCCATACAAAGCAATCAATTGATTTATTAATAATTTTTAAAACTGTACCACTCATTTATAAACACATATATACCATACTGTCAAATGTTTTGGCATGCATAAAGATTTCTCTTTCTTTTCAAGCAATAAATTTAAGATGCTAATTCTGCAGTTTTTATTTTCAAAATCAATTTAAAGGAATATTAAAGAATTTATATAACTAAAAATCATATAAAGAATAATAATAAAAATAATAAATAAGAACACCAAAATATATAAATAATAAGAACAATTAAGTAAAAGACGGGAAATAATCAGCATATTAGTCCTCTCCAGTATTTATGATAAGATCATTACTATGAGTAAAGAGGGAAAACATGCAAACTTCCAACTCACTCTGGTTCAGGATTGCCTCGGGCTTCACATTCTAAAATAAATGGTTTATCTTGCTCATCCTGGGTTTGTGAAACTTGAAATAATTGATCAGGATTAGGCTGCTTGATCATGGTGGGTGGATATGGAATGGTAGTAATAGCATTACAGTAATAAACTAGTAACAATACTCTGGCGACAATACAAAGCTTTAAATATGCCATAACGGATGTTTACATAAACCCTAAAAAAATAAAAAAAATAAAAAGATTATTCTGAAAAAATAAATAAATAAATAAATAAATAAATAAAGTTTCAACAATATAACACAAAAATCATATCTCACATATGTATTCTCTTTTATAGGCCTTAATTTACCTATATTAAATAACTACACATAGGTAATATATACATGAATGTGTAAGATATACCGCATTTCAGAAATTCAATCAGTCTTACCATCATTGCATTGGAATCACATAAAAGGGAAGGAGAATCCAGCTGATTGCACATCAAGATGTCTTTTGCCTTCAAAACTTTCTACTCATGACTTGTGGTGGACAGGTTCTCAGTGGCTTAATTCAAATAACATTCCGTTCTCTATCAACTTACCATTTTCAGAAGAGTCTTTAAAAGAACAACGAAAAATGTTTCTTGTTCGATTGGAACAGTTGCTTCGCAAATTCCAGTCCTTAATGAAGTTTCATCATTCTTGAAACTTAAAAGAATCATCGCATGGTGTTTTTGGTTTGTGAATAATTCACCTAAATCTACCGCAACAAGGAATAAGGGTTACCTTAAAATCGAAGAACATTTCCGTTCCGCCACAAAACATCCTCAATACGATAGAAATGCAATTGTTAGAGTAGTTCAAAGGGATGAGTTTTTTAATGAATATAATCTTCTGAAGTAGAACAAACCGTTAAACTCAAATAGTAAGATCCTTTCTTTGAACCCCTTTATCGATGTTTGATCATACAGGTTTCTGCTTTTTTTAACTTGCGTAGTTAAAAATTTCATTTTCAATTTAGAGTTCCAATAAATTTCATATTTATGATACAATTATCAACAGCTCATACATTAAATACGAATTTCATTTATGCAACTTTCTCAAATTAAAGAATGAACAAAGCACATGTGTATATTAATCCGATTCCATTAATCATAATATGGATTAAATTAAATTAATTTAATAGAACATTCTCTATATTATTTGATATTTTGCAACTCAGTAAGGTCCATTCTAAAAAGATCCGAAATCCAACTTCTTATATTCTTTCTGTTATACTGTCTCCGAAAGTAAAAAAGACCAGCGTAAAATCACCTCTCGGAATGCGTAGAGACTGATTAATAGAGATCAAGCATCTCTCCAAATGCACAGAGATTTATTTAATATATCTCTATGTGTTTACTTATACCAACAGGCAACTGAATTTTGCATCATTATAAAATCTAAAATTTAAATTTTAACACTTTTTCTTAATGAAAAAACTTTTAGTTCTTACACTATTTATATTGATAATAGTTCTTGATATTTATTACTTGATATTATATACATATTTAATAGTTCATTTAATAGATCTTGATATGTTTAATATCACTTACAAAATGTGTTAATTTGTACACTAAAAATTGTAAATGCATCAAAATATCAAGCTGATGAAAAGTCGTCTTATTATGTGTACTTAACATTTCCGTTCCGCCGCAAAACATCCTCAAATGCTGGTTCTTCTTGTAAGGACACTTCATATTCGGAATAATATGGTATTTATTTAAAAAGCTCATGGCTCAATACACAAGGTGTTTCATAAAAATGCATATCTCAGTATCTCTAAACGTACGCCATGGTTGTAGGTCTATGATTTAAATTTATGAACACAATCAGATGAGGTAATATAACGTAATATGGCCCTTTAGATAACCAAAAATATACAAAATAAAAATTTTCAAATGGGCTCTCTACGAAGGTAGGTTTTTTATCACTAAAATTAATCCTTTTGAATTCTTTCTGCTTGTTTGTTCTTATTATCATGATTACAACCACAGGTTTGGTGATGAAAATAAAACCACATTTTATTCTTATTCTTAAATATTGCATGGGAAAAAAAAAAAAAAAAAAATTAACTGACTATTTGCCTTTTAGGAAGGCAATTGCTAGCATTCGCAAAAAAAAAAAAAAAAAAAGCGTTTATCGTAAATATGCCAACTTTGTTATTTCAGACTCCCAACATTTCAAGGAGCTCAGCCAAGAACATCTTGATGGGAGGCCTTGCCTCAGCACTCTCAAAGCATCCCCTAAGAGTTCCTTTTCAGAAAGCAGGATGAAAGAGACAACACCCCAAAAAATGATTTTAAAAGATGATTGTAGCAGAAAGAAAAACTGACTTAAGCATGGGGACAATTGGGTTTATTTAGAATGAAAGTTGTTTGTCCATAGTTGTGAGAAAGTAAAAAGGTAAAATATGTATTTTGCTTTTGTACTTTATGTACGCTTTCTTTCTTTTTTAAGTCAGTATAATTTGCTGTCACACAAAGCTTGAATTCGGACAAACTGCACAGAATTCTCAAGTAAATTTCATTGTAGAATTCTATAAAGTGAACTTTTAAAATGATAAATTACTTTCAAATAAAATATGGGCTAGGAATTTAAGGTATACTTATTAAAATAATGCCCATAATCATAAAATATTTATGAAAAAGAAAAATTATGCGAGAATATAAATTTGGAATATTACGAGTAATGTTTGTATTTATTGTTTTGTAAAAACAATGCTTACATTACAGATTTCTTTACGCATTCGACAAATGAACCCAGTGCTGCCATCTATTGTCAGCACTGATAATTTTAAAATTAAATGTAGTGCTTCGTAGCTTCAACACGACGCCGGAGTTAAAATACCGTTATAGCGAAAGGTAATAGGTTCCTCGATGAAAATTAAAACTTTAAAGATATAAAAAGTTATAAGAAAAATTTTCACGTTTTTCAGTCAACAAGTTTCTAATAATAATAATAATAATAGTAATAAAAAAAGCTTCAAACAAAACAGAAAAGTGCAAAACAAAATAAAAATAGCATTAAAAAAGCAAGCAGAAACGACGATATACAATATGGATGTTTAATGTAAATTAAAATTATTTGGATGCCGGAGGGAGTAAGACTGTCACACTGCGTACCAATTTAGGATAACAGCACAGTTCACGTTTATTGATTTGAGAGCATACGTCTGTTAGTTTGTTGATGTCATTTTCTTTCTCGCCAGTCCTCCGGCAGCAAAATTTACGTGACGATAATGTAACTTTCCCCCTTCTTCCCCCCCGAAGCAAGTTATTCCAGGATCAAGTTATTTTAATGTAGTTTCTACTAATACCCACATAATATAGATATCACGGCATATCGAACAATGTCACAACAACATTATTGCGTGTAATCGTAATGATTAAGAAGTGGAATGAAAAAGCTGGTGTTATAACTGTCTTTTCTTTTTAAATAGTATTATATAACAGTAGTAGAGTGAATTCTCAATCATTCACAACAGGAATTTTCTATGCATTGTCTTGCTAAACATTTCTCATATTTATATTTATAAATGACGAAAAAATTATTTATTCTTGGGAAAAACTCATAATATAGATAAACTCATAAATCGATGCAATGAATCTCACTGTTAAGGTTTAGAATGAAGTTACAAACTTAATGCTAATACGCGGCGAATCCTTTGAGAACTGGCTATTTACAAGGTCACGTTGAAGATAAAATATTTTATTTCAGCCTACGGCAACGCTTGGCAAATCAGGTGGATGATATTTGCCCCCAAGTGTAATGTAACGTAACATATGTAAAAACCCCAAAATTTTAGTGATTCAGCTAAATACATATTTCTAACATCAAAATATTAACAAATTAACACGCAAAATGACACTCCTTTTAGTTTATTTAAATCACTTTTCTACACAGATCTTTACTAATATACTCCTGGAATATTACTAGCAAAAGGCTTTTTTTTAATAAAATGCAGATAAGCTCGAGAGATTTTAATGTTGTCTGTAAAAATTTAGAATTTCAAGTTTTTTACATTTCGTTTTAAACATCTGAATAAATCCCCCCCCCCCCACAAAATGTCCTCCTAAATTTATAACAGGAAAGTCAAACGAAATAAATCAAAAAGAGAAATAAAACAAAACAGGAAAAAAGTCCGTAACGTTCCACTGCAAAAAATTTGGAATATAAAGAATGAATTGTAGCACTGGATTTGTCGGTCACATGGTCACGGTAGGGAAAAAAAAATCTCGCGAAATAAAAGAAGGTACGAGATACAGATGAAGGCTTTTACATGTCGAGAGAGAGAAACAGAAAGGGAGGAAGAGGGAAGAACAAAAGTATTTAAAATTTTCCTTCGTATGTTTTTTAAGAAATAAATATTCGAAATTTGTGTTTCTTTATCGCTGTTTTTCGAAAACTAAGTAGCTTAAAAATACAAGAGCTTTAATAATTCGCTCAAAAGAAATATTGAACACCAAATTTTAAATGTGGCATAATTAAACACGAGCAGTTCTAATTTTTCAGTACTCTAAGACAAACATACATTAAAATGATACAGGAAGTAAATGTAAAAAGACTCACTATTAGTTTCGCCTTTTCCTCAAATACGTATGGCTGGAAACAAATTATCTATGGCTACTTACAAATTCCCTTAAGAATGCTTTCAAAACAAAGCAGTAAGCAAGGCCGCCTCGATTGAGTAAGAATATGAAATTAAAAATCAAATAAAAATCGCATACTGATTTTCGTCGCGCCTGTAATAACGAGAATTGAAAAATAATTATTTTTAAAATTGATTAATTTTAAAATTCGAAAGAAGGGGATTTAGGGGATTCCAGTTTGTCTACGGCCCACCAGCGGCCGAGCGGTAAAGTCGCTGAACACTGTAGTTCAGTCCGAGGTTCGAATCCCGCGAACAGGCTGGCTGCATGGGCGTTTTCGTGGTTTTCCCCATGTGTATACGAGCCAGTTTTCCCTAGAAAGTCCTCCACGAAGGCTATCCCTCCCCTTAGACAGATAGCCTTCGAGGCTTTGCCATAATCACACACACACACCAGTTTGTCTACTCGTTTCAAACATTTCAAGAAATAATGAATAAAGTGAGTTTTCAGATTATGATAATTTTGGTCATATGACTTTTTTCAGTTAAAATAAATGAAAACTTAAATTTTTACATGTACCCCATACAAAAATGCCACCTTAAG